TAATAGTAGTTCATCACCTCAAACGAAATAGGACGAATATGTCCTATTTATATGATCTTATAATAATCACGAAAAGCCTATATCTAAAACGAGAATATGAAAGTCTGTTGGTTACATTGTTTCAGCGATATTCCACTGCAGAATTGTGATATGAAAAAGGTTTAGGCTTCCTCAAAATTCACTTCTGTTCTGTGACCTAAAAACATACGTGACAGTGTAGCATGCCCCATCCGGGTTTGAGTCCAGCCGAAGGTGGTGATTAGATCCAGAGAAGGTAAAAACTGAAGTCCGCCTTGGATGACACCGCCTTTTGGGAAGCAAGACTCAGCTTAATTCAATGAAAAGGCGAGTCCTTTCATCACCCGAAAAGAAATGGGTAAATAAATCTAATATATATGGCCTACTGTTAGTCTCAAAAAAACTAATTTTAAAACAAAATACATATTTTATGTTGCGGAAAGTCAGGTTTGGTGTCTAAGCACAGTTGGACATTAGTTGTTCAGCTTCCTTACAGACATGAAAAATGGGAAAAGTGCAGTGTCAAACACAGCGAAAATTATTTCAGGTAAGAACAAATGACCCACAATTTTTTGTGCTAGCCTCTACAGCCTCAGGAAAAGCGTTGATAAAATGGAAAACTTTCATAGTTTGGAGTCACCTACAAAAGAGTCCTTTGATGAAGCTTTCCCTTAATTTATGCCCTACTAACAAGAATCACGACTGCCATGATAAGCTTTTCTTATGCTTTAAAGAAGTGGCAGACAGCGAAATTGAAGCATCGTCACGTGGGATGTCGGTAATGGCTCTGACTGGAAAAAGCCAGGCCAAAATGAGGATGTTTGATGGAGGAAATAGGAGGGATTGGCCAACGATTGGCAAAAAGCACTGGCAGGTAGACGTGCCGTAGCGGCAAAGGCATGCGGAAGGATGAAAAGGTCAGACAGAATGAATGCCAAGGACTGACGAAGACGACCCAGAAAGCCAAGAAAAGTTGATCCCAGCCTTTCTTTCCAAAGGTCTTATAG